CCTGACTCTGTGTTTCCATTACGTCAGACAGGATGTATTCAGTAGAAGGAAGCCTTGGCTTAAGACCTGTCTGGAGGATGGAGTTTGAGCCCCGGCCCTGTCACTCATGTGAGGCTTGAGTAAGTTGGTCTCTGTGTACATAGTTTTCACCTTTAGAACAGATGCAGCTGCTCTGCCCTTGCTGGTGTATTCTAAGGATTGTGTAAGGGGAGCCTGTGTCAGGGAATGGTCTGATCTCCAAGCAAGGCTCTCACAAACAAGGATCTCATTTCTTAGACATTGGTCAGTGCAATAAACCATTAGCATAGTACAACAAGCACAAAGCACTTTAAGATAGCCTCTCCTGTATTCAGCTTAGAGTGGAAAGCCCTAACAGTAGAATAGTTAAATAACATGACCTATCTATAATTGATGATGAGCAACCAGAAACCATGTATGAACTGGTGTGTCTTTTTGGTCCTCAACTGCTTACAATTTACCAAGCACATTTTTCCTTCTGTTGAATACTGATTAAGTATAATTCTTAGACTAAATTTCCCTTCAGTGACTACCAGTGCACTACCAGGTACAGCTAACAACCTTACCTCATGACCTAGGGTCTCTAGAATCCCTCCTGAAGCTCTTTCCTCCTTTATTGGTGATGTACCAGTCCAGGAAGACTGGAACTCTTCATTACTTTCTGAGCCATATACAGGCTACATTGAAAATTTCCAGAGAAGTTACTGTTATGCATAGCTACATGTATCTTTAGTATAGAGCTGGATACTTAGCTTAGTAAATGCTTATTGAAGATTTCGGGCAACCTTCATTATGGCAAATATGATAACAAAGATGGTAATAGTTGCAATATCAAAAAGTTAATAAAATAGCAAATAATAGTAAAACAATAACCAAAGCCATTGTTTGGGGGCACTGTGCAATAGCTAAGTGTACATGCTACCTAAACCTTCTAATAGTTACATCCTACAGATGTTCTCCATAGTCATCTTATTGATAAAAATGGGTCTCAGATAAATGCAGCAGCTCCCCTGGTGCTGGCTGATGGACACTTTCATTGATCCACTGACTGCTGCTGAGGATCTGCCACATCAGAGGGTTGGAGATGTAACCTCCCCCTTATTCCCTGTGATCAGGGTCCTTCCATTAGCCTACAGCAGAAAGCAGGGAATCTCCTGATAGAGGGGATGCTGTCAGAGAACAGCAAGACATGTGAAGCATGGTAAAGGGATTTGCATTGATGGCAGTTATCATTCCACTTAGTGGAGCAGAGGTATGCTAAGGAGACGGCAGTTGAATAGAGTCCAGACAAGGAACAGCACTGATCCATTAAAAAGAGGTGGGTGGATGTTTCAGGCAGGGGAACAGTGAGCACAAAGGCTCTGAGGCAGGAGGATTCTCTGTGCCCAGCTAATAGGAAAGTTGCCAGGGAGCTTGAGGGTAGGAAAATTCTAGAGTAGAGAGTCTGTACGAGTGGAGGGCATGCTGATCTTTGTGGGCATGACCTAAACCCTGGACCTTCATCCTGCTTCAGATGGGAAGCAATTAGACCGTTAGAGCCACAGCACCATGGGATCTGCTTGCAGCTGCTGCTTCTTCATTTAAAAAATCATTTTTATTTAAATTCATATATCTAAAACATTGCCATCTCAGCCTGTAAACAATATAAAAATTGTTGACTTTCCGTTCTTTTCTGCACTGGGTCTTTGAAACCCAGTGAGTACGATTTTAGTTACGGACTGTTTGTGTTTAGGGAAGGTGCCGGCTTCCTCACTGAGAGCAGGCAGCCCTTCAGCTGCAGTAGGCTCCCCTCAGCATTATGTGTAGTACTTCTGGACTCTCACCTCTGCAGATTTCTTCCAGACCCATTTGCTCAGACGCTTTTCATTTCTTGAAGCTCCCAGCTCCCTTCGGCATGGAGTATCACACTCTCTCTGTTTGATTTGAACTCATATAAAATTTGCTTTGTTTCCCAATGAATCAGTAGACTAGGTCTAAGTATTTGTTGACCAGATGGAGTAATAGAAATATGCTATGTAAACTCACTCAGAATAAGACCAATTGTCATACAAAGTGTGGTCTTACTACTGCAGCAACAAATCTCTGAACAAGAGCATCCCTGCACAGCTGTCTGGAAGCAGAAACTCAGGGGAGCCAAGGCCTGATTAGGTACGTGCAGCAATGCTGGCTTGGCCCAGAGCCAGATCACTTTGGGCCCAGCTCTGTTCCTGAGAGAGGCATAACCTTGAGCAAGGCACATTGCTCCTCCAGGGAATAGTCTCTTCACCTATGCAATGAACAGACTGAATCTCATGGCTCCCATGCTCATCCCGCCTGCCTTGGTTTGTTGTTGGGTTAGAAGCAAGGAGTGGAATTGCGAGTCACTTGTGTTCTTTCCCTTTACTTGAATCTCAAAGGGCAGACAGTGGGTCCCGGCAGATGCACTTTAAGTATTTTTGTATTAAAGGAGATCTTAAGGGACAAATTCTCCATGTTCTACGAATGTACCTGGGCCTGGACTTGATAATCACACTCCCCTGCTATTCTTCTCTCTTCCCCACCCATTCAAGCTTCTATTCACGCAGAGTTCCTGTGTGTGCATATTCTCTTGACCTACCAAGGACCACGACCCAGTTGTGCCACTAATTTTGAATCTTTGGCCCTGCTAGGTTGAAGAAAAGAAGATATGTGAGCTAAAGACCAAGCCAAAATACCAGAACATTCCTGAAAGTTCCAGTAAAGAAAGTAGGAGATTTTAGGAAGTAGTAGATGTATCAGACCCTGAATATCCATTTCGCCAAGTTTCGACTTTGTACTTTAGAGTATCAAGTTGTCCATCTATAGAATTCTGGAAGGAGAAGCAAAGGGAAGCAGACACACAGGCAATGGTGCTAAGAGCCCAAACTAGGAAGGAAACGGTGGCAGGGACCGTGCCCACAGACTTGTATTTGAATGGTCTCTTTATGAGAGATGGATTTAACACAATCCACTTTGCTTTAGGTACCTCCTCCGTACTTGGGCAGGAAGTCAGGGCGAGACAGTAACAGAGGCACATACCTAAGGACATGTTTAGTACTGACATGGAGTTGTTAACAAGGTATCAATGGGATACAAATAAGTCTCTTCTGACCTTCTGCCGGCTTGCCCTCTACCCTTCTCCACCTGGCTCTCCAATACACTATTGGCCTTACTTGGTTTCTGACTACATGTCAGAGGGAGGTAGAATAGGAGGGCAGATGGAAGGTAGGAGAGCAGATCCTTCAAGCCAGTCTCTGCTCTCATGGAGGCGTTCTTTCCACAGGGTGTGATCCTGACTTCCGGTTTCTGTTCTCTCCTGTCTCAGGCCTAGTCCTTACTATGCCTCCTGTACCTCAGTCAGGCCTCTGCAGTGGACTCTGTCATGCCAGTTGAAATGTTTCTTTCATTCTTGTTTCCCTCATTGGTATGCCCCCAGCTTTTGAAATACGATTTGAAAATATTTTTTTATCCTTTGAAAGGTCCACATGTTTCTACAGCATCTACTGCTCAATTTTCTGGGATTGCTTGCCTGATTAGCCTATTGGCTCTTCCTTCATTAATTTTAGCTTTCTCCTTTCCTGTCACTCTGCAGTACTATTTTCATTCCCAGCATTTGTTTGCTTTCAACAAAAGATGTCTATTCTCACCACGGACAGCTTGTCATACATGATCAGATTGAAATATTCTTAATGCAAGCCTATCCCATAATCACCCAGGGAAAGGCTTAGGGTCCATTTTCACTTCGAATTCTGGCCATTCTTGCCTCACTGGTTCTTTGCCACATGGACAATTGTTTTCATGGAAGCTTTCTCTGCCCAAGGTCCAGAAGTTTGTAGTTTCACGTTGGTGTCTGGTATGTGTAGTTTTAGAAAAGATTCCTGAAAATCTGTCTGCCGTAATTTCCAAGGTGGCAAAATGAGGCTAACATGACACTAACTTTACAGGGATTTTGAGAGAATAAAAATGAATGCAGTTCTATAAAATCCATGCTCTTTTCCACGAGGAGGAGCACAAGTGTCAATGAGCAAGCCTTCTCCACCTCTACCCTACAGTGATCAGCTTCTAAGGCCAACATTTCATTAGCACTCTGAGCAGAATTTAGGTTTCTGAGTTACTCTGTGCCAGGATCTCTCCTAAGCACTGTGTTTGTCATCTGGTCACCACCAGAACAGTGTGTGGTGGGACACTATAGATGAGGAAAAAGAAGGGCATAAGGAAAGAGTGTGGCCCAGGTCAGGACTCAGAGCTGTAACTGTCACCCAGGGTCCTAGTTGAATTTTTACTTGGTTTTAATCTTGTCTTTGAAGGCCAGAGCATCCCCTTCAGCCAGGTTAGCCAAAACTAGTTGGATCTAAGTTCTTCCAGAGTGATGACCAGACAACCTCGAACTTCGTTATAACCGAAATCTATATTTGTGACATACCCACCAGCTGCCATGACAGGAAGCACCACAACATAGGAGTGGGGGAAAGATTCTTCCCATATTAGTTTTGAAAACCCTGTATGTATGACATTCCCACCTCAAACAAGGTAAACCACTGACTTCTAATCTTAGACTCCCAATTCTCCGTTCTCTGACATAAACAGCTGTGGTCCCCTGGTGTTCAGCTTTGTTTTTTCTCTTTGGCTTTGTGATATTCAAAGGGGAAAAAAGATCCTGCTGTGGGCGGGGGCCTCCTTCATTTTGAGAGGGGGCTAGGAAGTTGTTGGAAGCAAAACTTAGGAAAGTTTGGCCCAATTCTTTTTACTCCATGGTCTCCTTTACATACAATCCCTGTGACAGTCTGTGAAGACACATCAGACAGAGGACAACTGATTACGAAGAATGTCAAATAGTGAGTGACTGAAAACTTGCATTCTTGTTAAAAATTACTGAGTCTTATAATTATTATCCTTAGGTATGGTGCATTCCACCTGCCTGCCATGGGAGGGTGCTTGAACTTAGCATAACCGAGAACATTAACCTTATCTCGAGAGGAACTCACCTGAACTTAAGGCATTCTCCACTTCTTGCATGATCAGGAAAGGGGTGGTGGTCTCAGACTCACAGACCACTTTGCCATGCTCAGCATCTTGGGGTGATTTCTCCTTCGGTGCTGGCTCTGCTGTGACACGGGAAGTGGGTATGTGACTAGAGCTGTGACCCTCGGTTGGGGACCCGGGTGCCATTGGAGCTCCTGTGGGCTGGATGCTGCTCACAGTGGAGCTGTGATTAGAGGTACTGGAGACAGACAGAGCCTCAGGTGGGGAAGCTGCCTGGGATGTAGATGTCGAGGTTGGCGCCTGAGAAGAAGTGAGAGTGGGTGGCTGTGACGAAGTGGCTGGCACACTTGTTTCGGGACTGCCAAGGCTGGGTTCCTTGGGTGTGGGTGTCAAGTGGACATTGCTGCTTGTTGAGGAGAAGCCGGAAGGTGAGGGGTCTGTGTTGCTGCCATTCCACTTCAAAGCTGGGCTTGTGACATCCTCTTCTTTGGGGACAGTGGAAATGTTCTTGGGGAGCTGAGATGTCAGAGACGCAGCAGTAGTGGGGAGGACTGAGGCGTTGAGAGTGTCACTGGTCACAGGGGTGGTGGCCATAGCAGTGTTTTGAGCAGAGGTAGTCCAGGTGGCTGTAGGTGGGGTGATTTTTGTCATAAGAGAAACAGGCAAGGGGGCTGATGTTGGTATGCCCTGTACCCTCAGTCCTATGAAAGAAAGAATCAGGACAAACACAGTTAATCACATAAACACCATATATAATATAAATATATTACACACACACACACACACACACACACACACACACACACCACACGAAACAGGTGGTCAACTGCACAACTGTTTTGTAGTGTAATTCTAGGTATTTCTTTTTTTTCCCCCACTGTGCAGGTGACACTGAATTGTGAAAGTGCTGTTCTTCTCACAAATCCTCCCCTTAATTTGTGACTCCTACTAGGAACTGGCCTGAAGCTCCATAAGAGCAATTAGTAGATCAGTCAACTCAAGACCAGCATCAGGTGGAAAGAAATAATCTTGTCTCCTGCTAGTTTAAATCACTGTCCTTAGAGGGTGAGGCCTTCTGCTGAAACTCCCAGTATTTGCTTGCATGATTGAGTGTCATCGCATAACACCTGCACACTGGGAATGCCAAGGGTGTGTGTGTATGGGGGGGGTGTAGTGGACAGTAAAATCAGTGGCAGGAGTGGGGTAGAGTTTCAGAGGGGCCTCAGTGGCCCTGTTCCTATTTCAAAGCCATCAGGACCATGGAGAACCTGACTCCTCCCTCTGCCCCTTCTGCATTTATGTACCATGAGGCAGGGCTTGGTGGCTTTATAAGCATGTACCTATGGAAGGAAGATGAGTTTCAGAACAAAGCCCCCACTTGTGGTTTGAGAGTATCATTGGAATTCTAGACTGGTGTTTTTACAATCATGATTTTGCCAAATCACATTTTGTAAAGTTTAGAATTAATTCTTCCCTTATCTACTTTCCCTTGCTTCCAGCCTCCACCTTATGAGTCATTGACTTTTCCCTTGCTCCTAGCCTCCACTGAGTCATTCACTTTTATCATTCATTAAGTTTAACCAATGACTTCTTGGAGTTAGTGCTGGTATCTGGCAGATACTGGGCTCATGCCTCACTCTCTGTGTAACAATCTCTTGATTGTCTCTCCATACCATTCATCATCCCCAACCAGCTTTGCCTCTGGTCATTTCCACCTCAATATAGGGAACTTCCATTTGCAAAGTTCTCAGCCAAAAATAGAGATGCCATCTTTTGTCCTCCTACTCAAATCCGCTGCTCCCTTGAACTATAACCCAATATATCTCACTTGTTATCATTATTATCTCAACTCTTAAACAACCTCTTGGCTTCTGGCTTTCTCCCAGAAGAATGCTCTGTGTGTTTTTCACACACAATCGAGAAAGTCTTTTAAGTTAATTTTAAAATCTTTTAAGGTATTTTTTCTTTTCTTTTGTTTGAGACAAGGTTTCACTATGTAGCCTGGCTGGCCTGGAACTCCAGAGATTTACCCACCTCTGCCTCTTGAGCACTGAGATTAAAGGTGTGTGCTACCATGTCTGAATTCATTTTTCAACTGATCAAAACACTTCAAAAGCATTCTGTTGTGTTTAGAACAAAATCAGAAATATCCCATGTCATCTCATGTTCTTCTCATTGTGATTAGCTTTTACTCAAAATCACCTCAGAAGCCCTTCTTAGACGATTCTAATTAAAATCATCCCCACTCCAGCTTCTTGTCATTTTTTTAAGTGTAAGAAAGACTGCTGTGGTAAAAATCACAGCTAATGTTTACCATCTTAACAATCTTCATGTGCAGCTCAGTGGCATTAAGTTTATTAACATTGTCTCAAAGGTGTCACCATCCATCTCCACAACCTTTTCATTTTGTCAGGCTCATTCTCATTAAGCTGCTCCTTCCTCCTCACTTTTGCAGCTCCTGCAAAGAGTCTTTCTATATTCTGTGCGAAACTGATCGTCTAGGGGACTCATGAAAGTTGGATAATGTAGGCTTGGTCCTTTTAATATACATTTATTTCACTTATCCTAAAGTCTTTAAATCTTACCCATACAATAGCATGCTCTAAAACACCCCATTTATTGTATGCCAAGGGTGTGTGTGTATGTCTGTCTATCTATCTATCTGTCTGTCTGTCTGTCTGTCTGTCTGTCTGTCTATCTATCTATCTACCTAGCTACCTACCTATCTACCTATCTATTCCACCTTGTATTTATCAGCTCATCATCCATGGACATTTGGGCTGCTCCTATCTTTTGGCTCTTGAGAAGACTATTGCCATGGACACTAGTACATAGATACCTGCTGTCTCCCTGCTTTCAGTTCCTTTGGGATCTACCCAAGTGTGAGATTGTTGGGTCATAGGGTAATCCTGATTAACTTTCTGAGGAACTGACCTACTTTTTAGCCTATTTTTGCATATTTGTATCTCTTTTTGGAGTTACATATTTTCATTTGTACCAAAATGTAAGCTTAGCAAAGGCACAAGGACATGACATTATTCGTTGTTGTTTTCCTAAGGACAGTGTCCAGGACATAGTTAATTTTAATTAATATTAAGTAAGTACTTGTAGAAGGCAGGCAGCAAAAAAGGTAGAGAAAACCAAATGCTTAAATCTTCCTTCCTGAGGGGCTGGAGATATGGCTCAGTGATTAAAAGCACTGACTGTTCTTCCAGAGGACCCAGGTTTGATTCTCAGCACCCAAATGGCAGCTCCCAGCTCCCTATAAGTCCAGTTTCAAGAGGATCTGATGCTGTCTTCTGGGCTCCACAGGCACTTGCATGCATGTGGTGCACAGACATGCGGGCATGTATGTGCAGACAAAACATTTTTAAAAAGATAAAATAGAAACCATTCTTCCTGATTACTCTTGACATCATCTCATCTATTCTACATGTCATTTGGCCATTAGCTGTGTCTACCACAGCTTTGTCAGGACAATTGCCTGTCTGGCATTATTTGTTTCACTCTGTCCCTCTACCATAATGTATGCTAGGACTCATGGCAGGTCCTCAACTATCTAACCCTACAGCCCTGAGGAGTCTTCTCCTGAGGATTCACAATGGTAAGGGCAGGCCTAAACAGTGTTTAGTAAGAATAAAGCATGGGCCAGATATCAGCAAAGACTAGAGGGGAAAAGACTAGAGGGGAGGCATTCCAGGCATCAGGATAGAATTTGCCACTTTGTCTGATAGATAAGATAGATAACAGAGAAGGAGCTAATGGAATATGTACTTCAGAGACTACACTGAACTTAACATTTGGATGTCCCTAAAAGTGACTGGTTTAATTTTATTTCAAAAGCATTGGTCAGAGGCTAGACTGAGTGTTAGCAGCACTTGTCTTGTCTGCATGACGTCCCCCATTCAGTGACTGGCAAGGAAATCATTTATTTAAGAAGTTGGTTATGGATATGGATGATGAGACAATTACTTCCTTAGGAAACAAGAGGACAGCTCTCCAAGCTTAGGCTACACAGTAAGTAGTAAAGGCTGTTATGGTATCTTTTAGTAGCTGAGGGATCTTTAAAATAAGGCAAAACAACAGTGGGATGGATACTAGTAAATTATGGAATATTATATGTTGCTCTGAAGCTTACTGCCTGTGTATCATGGCAGCGCTATGGCTGACTCAAGACTCTGCAGGTGGAAACATGGTGGTGCTTAAACACATTTCAGAGCTTCATACATGAGCAGATGCAGACATCAGCTTTGGTCTGGAAGCAGTGTCGAAGAATCTCTAGAAGTCTGAGATAAGTGAGGACTCACCAAAAGAGCACAGATTCATCCCTTCATCATTAACTAATTCATTAACTGGTTCATCATTCATTCTTCTATTTATTGTTCACCTCATTCATTCATTTACTCCCTCATTCTTTCCAATGTTTGCTGAGTAGTTTCTCTGTCCACAGTTTTGCCTTCAGAATTCAGAAACCATACCCAACTTCCTGTAACATGATGTGGTAAGCACTTTATAAAAGTAAGACCAAGTTTCATTTGAAGCCTCAAAGAAAGATTAATAAATAATTCTGCACTACAGCATGTAAAAAATATACAAATGTCATTTTCAGTCGACATTTATAAAAGTCATGGAAAAGATGATATTCGAGATGTTTCTAAAAGGATAAGAATATACATGATACCACCCAAGATGTGTGTTGTTCAGGATGAAACTTGCATTGTTATATCAGGCAGAGCCAAAAGCTATTCTGTTATATTGTTAGAGGTCTGAAAATGACTGCTCCACACGCTGGTATGTTGCTGGAGACTTCCACTTATTGTGCAGTTCTTACTAATACATTTTCTGCTCCCATCCTGCCTGCTTCCAAAGAGGTCTAGAGATGGCCATTTACTTCTTATGGCTACCTGCTGTGTATTTATTTAAGGCAGTTTATGGTCCAGCTCAGGCAATTTCTACTCACAACTAAGCAACAATTCACAAAATCGCATGACAATGTTGATTACCATCATTTGTATAAAGCATTAAAAATCTCAGCTCTGCTGTGTTGTCTGTATCCCATTGCCCTGCCTGCCCAAAGGCAGATCTTCTTCAAGCATAAAGACATCCCAGGTAAACATACCATGACTATCTTAGAGAATGTTGCCTGCATTTGTTTTCTGGTGGTGGTGGTGGTGGCGGTGGCAGCGGCAGCGGCTATAACTAAATACTACAGGCTGGGTGCTTAACACAAAGTACCTCAGTTATAGAAGGTGGGAAACCCAATATCACTGTGCTAGGCAATTTAGTTTCTGGTGAGGACACTCTTCCTGGCTTATAGATAGCCATCAACTAGATGTTCTCACAAGCCCTTCCTCTAGGAATTTGGGTGGAGAATAGAGTAGGAATAGCTAGCATTTCTCTCTCTCTCTCTCTCTCTCTCTCTCTCTCTCTCTCTTCTTTCTTCTCCTGTATGTTTTTTCTTCCTTTGAGATTGGATCTCACTTTGGAGCCCAAGCTGGCCCAAGACTCATTATGTCACCCAGGCCAATCTTGAACTTGTGGGACATTCTTCTGTCTTATCTTCCTGAGTGCTATGATGTCTTTTACAAGGCACCAATCCCATCAGTAGGATCCCACTCTCTCATAACCACACCCAACCTTAATTAGCTCCCAAAGGTCTGTCTCTAAGCATCATCACATTTAGGAGCTAAAGTTTCACTATGCAGAACCTCTATGGCATATGGTTTCTGCTTTTTCATATGGATGACTTA